TGTGAGCTGGGGAACCTTAAATGAGACCATGTAAACTGAGAATCTAAGATCTTTGGTTTAAAGACTGAAAGCACAACAGATATTTTTAAACTGTGAAGGGGACAGTGTTCCTTTTAGATGTTGGGAGAACACTCTGAATGGGTCACATTCTATTATAATGCAAAGGTAGAAACCTCAGATATGTAACTGGGAAAAGATTTCTTGTCACAACAAATTTTCCCTACTGCCAACAGTATCCCCTAGAATGGCTGAGTTTGGGATTATAGGTGTGAAATTTAAAACTGTGTGTTCAGGTTCTGACTGCTGCCTACTGATAGTCTGTTCTTTGAATAAGTACATCTGTTTTACCAGCAGCACTTTGCAGAGACCCCAGTGGCTGCAAGAACAGAGGAAGCCCCATCATCTTGTTGAAACCCTGAGACCTTCACTGAAGAAACACTGAAAACAGAGAATAGAAGACACAGAAGTACCCAGGCTGTACTTACGAAATGTCAACACCCACAGACTTTGGGAGGAAAGTTACCACTCATTTTGAAGGAGGAAAATCTGAGACAAAGACCTCACTCTTACCTGGCTGGAAACTATCTCTCTTAAAAGAAAAAAAAATAGTGTGTGTTTAAGTTCTTTTGGAATATCAACACTATTATAATGGCAAAATGAAAAACATGTCCTTTGAAGAAAACCTGAAGAATGTGTTATCATTAAGAACTTGGGAACAGAGGGTTGAATGGTTTTTCAGAAAGCTTTTTAATTCAGGTGGGCTCAGAGTGTATCAGCTACCTTCCTTCTGCAAAAGATCGAAGAGGGCTGAAGGCTTCTCTCTTATTAGGAAAGCAGGTCTGGGTGAGAGAACGCCTCTCCTGATGGAGACAAGGGTTTTGGAGTAGGAAGAGGTGGGAAGACGGGCCTGGCCATTGCAGCAAGCTGGCATGTGGGTTTTTGTCTTAAGGGGATGAAGCTACAAGCTTTTAGGACAGAGGGGAACAGCTGAGGCTGGAAGTGGAAAGCTATTAAACAACTCAGCAGGTTAGGAGAAGGGATGATCACAAGGGTGGTCTGGGCAGGACTGTCTGAACCTGGGGGAATCTTCTCGGCCATGGGAGGGAAAGCGGTATAAGCCAAGAAGGGCCAGAAAGGCCAGTGTGAAGTAAGAAGAAACCATTGAAGTTTTTTCCTGGAGTCAACACTCTGTGAATTTTACCAGACCTGAGGCCAAACCAAGGGGTTTTAGATCAGCCTATACATTTGAGTTCTTATATCAGTGTAAATTGCAATCTATAATGAGTTGAAGAGGGAAAGAAAGGATAGAGAGGGCAGCATTGATATTATGGAAAGATCTAAGACTTTGCAGCCATACTTACTGTGTGACCTCGGACAAGTTACTTAACCTCTCTGAGCCTAGGTTCTTTCTTTTGTAAAACTGGCATAACATCTACCTTGAGAGGCTGCAGGGAGGATTCACTGAGAAATGTATATGAAACGCCAACACAGTACCTGAAAACTGTAGGTGCTCAGTAACTCTTAGATTCCTTCCCCTTCCAAGAGCTGGGCTTCCTTGTCAATCATAGCCTGTCTGGAGCTGTGCTGTTCAACACGGTGGCCAGTGCTAGCCATATATGCCTCTAAAGCACTTAAAATATGGCTAGTTTAAACTGAGATGCGGCATAAGTGTAAAAAACACACCAGATTTCCAAAACTTTTTGCCAAAAAAAAGTTAAATGTCCTATTAATAATTTCATAGTGACTACATGTTGAAAAGATAACATTTTGGACATATTCAGTTAGATAAAGTTCATTTCACCTGTTTCTTTAAACTTGATTTGAAGTGGCCCCTGGGAAATTTAAAATGGCACTGTGGCTCACGTTTTCTTCCTATTGGTCAATGATGAGCTAGACATTAGATGAAAATAGGGTTGGGAAGCTGTGTTCCAGAAGTTCGTGTGTTTCTATACTTTGGGTTTGTACTTTGGTTTTTTTTGTACTGCTTCTCTAATAAAAGACCCTTTTTGAAAAAGTGCCATCCAGGGCTCAACCAAAATGCGTGGAAGGTACCTGTGCGCCCCTAGTGGCTAACAGTGGTATGGCCATAGTCTAGGAAAGAGGAGGCAAGTGGTATATGAGAGAATTCAGTTAACAGGTGGAATAGTAGGGGTAGCTGAGGATGGATTAGTCTGTTTTAGCCTGGAGCTTCACTATAGGTCCCTCTACTGCTCTTTAGTCCAGAGGATGGCCTCATTCTCTTATTTAAGAAGGTTTCCATCTTATACGTGAACTTGGCAGGAAGCAGGCTCCCACTGGGCAGTAACAAAGGTGTAAGGAAAATGACACTTCAAAGCCAGCTTTAGAAGACCGCAGAGTTTCCAGAGAAATGAACAGCAGACATTCACAGACATGAGAATGTTCTTTTTTTCCTCTCTCCCAAGAAGTGCGGTTGGTGGTTGTTTTTAAAACTGTACATTTTACTGTACATTTTTTTTAGCAAAGGAGAAGATTGGCATTTATATTCTGACCACAAGGATGATGCTTTCAAAACTTCAAGTCAGAAACATGACAAACACAGTGCAAATACATATCATGTCACGACAGAGCTCAGAACCGCCAACGAGAACAGATGTTTGGTTCCTCCCCTTCCAATGTCCACCACTTTCCCTCTGGGCATCTGAACCCAAAGGCAAAAAGAAAGGTGGTATTTAGGGTCACTTCCTCAATGGCTACATTTTGAAAGGCTGAGTGAGAAGGTGCAGAGAGAAAAAGGAGAGGAGGAAAATGGTGAAGGAGATGGAGAGGGAGGGTGGGATAGATTTCCTTTCAAATCACCCATTTTTGTGGGTGCCACCATGACTGGGGAAGGCTTGTGTTCTGCCACTGGTACTGGCCTGGAAAAATTAACTTGTGGTCTTAGGAAGAGATTGACCTTGTCTGTTAATAACCTTGCCAGGACCACACAGGGATCAGGGAAAGCAGAGAGTCACAGGAAGAAAAAGGATTTTGAGACCAGGAGGTGGAGGGAAGGTGAGGAGAGAGGAAAGTGAGGAAGGAAGGGGAGGAAGGATGAAAGCATGGGGTTTGGAGGCTCCTGGGATGGAGCCAGAAGGCAATCCTGCATAGACAGTTCTCCACCCTTTCCTGTTCTTTCTGGGTTGGGGTTGGGGCCACCACTCAGCTCTGGGGGTCTGAGCCCATCAGAACTTTTTGGCCCAAGATAGACTCACTTGTATGCTTTGTATGTTGTGTTTGGCAAGTGGAAGAAGGAGGGAAAAGGACAAGAGAGGAGCTGCAGATCAATGGCAGAATCTTGGGAGGGGAAAGAATGAGTTGGGGAGACCAAGTGAGAGGTAGTGTGTTGGCAATGAGGAGAGACCTGTAACAGACAGAGACCAAGAGAGACAGATGCTGGGGAAAGTCCTTCAGATGTCGCTAAAGCAGTTTCTCTCTGGCCACATCTCCCTCTCCCTCTTGACCCTGGGAGGGTGGGGGTCGCTCCTTACATGGACGTGAGCCCATGAGCCCTCCTATCGCCATCATGTCATTTCCATGGATGGATCCTCCTCATAGACGGCATCCATGGATGGCATCCTCATGTTCCATCCTGAGCCAGCTTCTGCAGCAATAAACAGAGGACAGAGTTTGGACACAGACATGCCATAGCCAGGGTGAAGACAGGGTGACAGATCCCACCACCACCCAGGAGGTAGGTAGGTGGTCTTGGCCTCTGCCCTGACTTGGTCACTAACTTCCTGTGTGACCTTGGGCAAACTCCTTATACTCTGGGGGGAAAGGGAGGGAGGATTAAGGATGAAATAATTGCAAACTCCTCTTCAAGCTTCCAAACTCTATGATACTATAAAGATCCAGCATTCTCCTCCAAATCCTCTGGGATTCTCCTATGTTTCCAGCAGGAAGGAGAGGGACTGCTTGACCTGTGTGTGCTACTGGTACCGCTGAACTGGAAACCTCATCATTTAAAGTCATGAGAGTTCATTGGTCCTTAGAAATGGAGTGGAATTGGAGACCTGGTATGATCCCAGCATTTTGTGAATTAGGAGACTAAAGTCCAACGAGAGAAAAGGGTCCCCCACCCAATGTATTCAGCTGGTTTATTCAGTAGTGGTTCTGGAACCCAAACTCAGAGCTTTGGACTCTAAGTCCAGTGCTCCTTTGCCAGCCCATTCTGCTTGGCTTACAAGAGGTTCCCTTGGCTCAACACATGCTAATGAAGATTTTCTGTTCCAGCTTCCCCACAAAAGAGGCAAAAATCCCAAAGGAGCTCCAAGAGCTAACATCCTTATGCCCTTATGACTCAAAAAGCCCTTCTCCCTCTCCCTGACACAGGTTAGGAGTCCTGGCAGTTACCTTTCTGGTTTAAGCCATTGTGATGGATGTGGACAGTCATGTTTGAAAAGCAAAGAAAGCTTGGTCAGGTACGGGAGATCACTCAACCCTCCCAAGTGTGGGGACAGTTGTGAATAATGAGAGGTCTAGACAAGGGACTCCACAGTCTTCCCCCAAACAAGTGTGAGACCAGACTTAGTCCCTTCTCTCCTCAATTGGCAGTAACACTGCCAGGGCTGCTTGGAACCTGCTTTCATATGTAGAACAAACTTTCCATTACCTGTATGAATGAAGAGGTGTTTGGGAAGTGGAAAAAATAAACTAAAAAATAAAAACAACACTGGCACCGTAAGCAATCCAAAGCCACTTGCTTATACGTTGCATTTGTGATTAGAAAGGTGAGAGTCCCACCTTTCCAAACACTAAGGGCTCAGTCCAACACTTAGAGATCAAGTCCGCTTTCCCTGAGCACACCCTGGCTGGGTGGTGGCGGGGGACAGCCTGGGAAGGTGGTGTGGGTGGTGGTCAGGCGGAGGCCATTGACAGGGAGACTAGACTGTCCCTGGATGTAAACATCACCATGGAAACCCCACGAAGACTTGCCAGTAAAGATTCTTTCCCTTCTTCCACCCTGCAAAAGCAGGAGGGAGGACACCCACCCCCCAAACCTACACCGTGCTCTCCATCACCCACTCAGAGCTGCCAAAAGTCCCCCGGGTTCCCACTAGGTCACTCTCCTCAAAGGGCAAGAGCATGCCATTCACAGAGAGGCTCCGCTTTGTCCAGATGTTTGACACTCTCCGAGGGGGGCTGTAGCCATCTGGGGCAACCCCTCCAGCTGCCGCAGCTGCAGCCGCAGCAAAGTCCCCCATGTCAAAGGAATGGCTGCGTTTGGCCTTGCCCTCCAGGGGCAAGGGGAGCAGGCTCCTGGCCCGGGCCGCAGGTGGTCCCAGCAGTGGCTCTCGGTCTGAGTGGTGGCCCCGGGCCGATGTCCCAGACCCTCTCCCGCCTGGAGTCCTGGAGTCCAGCAGCTCCTCCTTTCTCTGACTCTTGAGGTCCAGGGAGGCAAAGGCCCCCATCAGGCGGTCAAGGTTGGGCTTGGGGCGTGGGGCAGGGGGCGGGAGCCTCCAGGGGCCTCGTCCCAGTGCTGCAGCCTCCCCACTGCCCAGGGAGCTGGAGGAAGAGGAGTCACTGCATCGGGCAAAGCTGGGACTGAACTCGACCAGCTCATTGCGCACCACCACCTTGGGTGGCCCCAGTGTGGGAGCCCCGCTGGGCACACTGCCCAAAGCAGATGGCTGGGCCCCGTTGGTCTGTGAGTGCACGTTGCTGACTGTGGCAGCCACCATCTTGCTGGGGGCGTCATGGTTGCAGACCTTGTAGCGTACCATGAGGATGACGATGAAGACCAGCAGCGTGGCCACAATGATGCCACCGATGACCAGGATCATGGTGCCACCCAGGATCTGGCTATGCATCGACTGGCACTGTGGGTAGTCGGCCTTGGTGAAGAACTGGGCACAGCCCACAATGTTGGTGGCCGTGAGTGTTGTGGCTGTGTCATCCCACATGGCCAGCACGCACAGGTCATAGCCGGTCCCTGACACCAAGTTGTTGACCACAAAGGCCTTGTTGGAGGCTGGGATCATCCTAGGGTGGATGGGAGTAGACACAGAGGGGGAAGGATGGTGAGGGATGGCAGGGTGGTAGGGGACAGAGGAAGAAATAGAAAGAAAAGGAGTGACAGGAGAGAGAAAGAAGTGGGGAGGTGAGAGAGAGAGGGAGAGAAAGACAGAGGGACACGGAATGAGGGAGAGCAGGAGAGAGTGAGATGTGAAGAGACAGGGAAGGGGAGACATGGAGAACAGGGAGAAGGAGGGGGCAAGAGCAGAGAAGAAGCAGGGACATGCAGGTGACAGGAACAAGGCATAGGAAATAGTGAACAAGTCAGAGTTGTGAGGAGAGGGACCCAGATAAGAAAACAGAAAGACAGGTCAGGGTGAAAAGGGAAGTGAGAGAAAAATTCAAGGGTAGAAGTGTCAGAGAGAGATGTACACAGGGAGAGGTGCCAGTGATCAAGTTTGGGAAAACCACCCAGAAGAGGTGGAAATAAACATGATGAATTCAAAGTAGAGACAAGAAAGTAGTTGAAAGATGGAGGTACAGGGAAGAAAGAAGAGAGACCCAGCAGAGATGAGAGAGGAAACACAGGGAGGGGCAGAGGGAGAGACAGAAAGGTTAAAGTCCTGATGCAAAAGCAAAAATTAAACAGAAGGACACTCCCCCCAACCCCTGCCAGCCAGCCCCGCTTCTGCCATGTCGGCTGCAATTATTCCAGAGTCTCTGGAAAGTGCTGGGGTGAGAGTCAGGTTGGCTCTGGCTTTGTTCCAGCCCACCCAAAGACTCAGTCTCTGCCTTGTCCTCTACTTTGGAGATGCATCAACACTGACGGAGTCTCCTGTCTGGGCCCCATGCTACATAGAGCCACAGCCAAGGCCCCGACCTCAGGAGCCAAGACCATCCTCATCTTCAGATGACTTTCTCATGCCTGGGTTGCGGGGAGGACATTTGCTGGGGAAAACTGAGAGGAAGGGGCAATATTGAAGACTAGAGGGTGATTCTGCTTCCTGGAGGGAAGGATGATTCCTCTGTTACAGCCATAGCAGGCCAAGCGCACCCAAAGAGACATGAAGAAAGAGTTTCTCTGGTTGGGAGGCCTAGACGGGTCCCTCCGCCTTAGGGAAGGGCCTGATGAGGCAGCAGTCTCTCCATGCTGGGGCCCATCCATTGTAGCCTGGATGTTCAGAAAGCCAGGGCACCAGCACTGATTGCTGAGGCCCTTGTTCACGTATCGCGCCTTGTGCTGTTTCCAGAGATGATGCCTTTGTTACCCCATAACTGTTCCTGCCACGTCCCTCTCTGCAACCTTCCTTATAGCCCCTCACTCCCTCCATTCAGAGCCCTCCATTCTCCTTCCCCTTGCTACTCAAGGGCTCCATCAACAGCTATCAACCCTTCAAACCCAGAGCCGGGCAGCTTAATTGAGATCTGAAATATGAAATTCCAGAGGCTGAGGACTACCACCTGAGAATTCTGCCTGGAGGAGTGGAGCTGACAGGCAGATACTAACGTCCCCTCAGCGGGCAGCCTGGGAACTCTACCTCCCTGCTGCACCCTTCCAGGGCTCTGCTGCTGGGGAAGCCACCATGGAGGGAGCATCATCCCCTGCTTCACCCCAGCCGCATAGCTACAGTGCTTGGGGCAGAGACAGCAGGTAGAGGGCGTGGGGGATGTCTGGATCCAGCCAGTGCCTGCAGGCCAGTCCCCCAGGTCTATCTGTTTCATGAGCATCAGGGCAGTCCTGTGAGAGGGTATTCCTGCTCTCATGTCGTGGAGTAGAATGGCCAAGACTCAGAGAGGCTAAGTGATTTGCTTGAGGTCACACTGCTGAACTGCTAGGATGGGGCAGTTGGGACTTTAACACTAGCTTCTAGGTCCATAATCTGGGCTTGTTCCTTGCCACATGATGAACATGGGGGCACTTTTCCCCATATTAGTGAAAAGCCCACCCTGGCCTGGGGCCTATTGGCCACCTCCCTGGAACAATGCTCAGAGTCCCCTGTGCCTCACGCATCACTGGGCTGAGCCCTGAGAGCCCTCTGTGGCACTTGTTGCGGGGCCCACTTCCTTCCCCTTGGGGTCAGGTTGGAAAGTGGAGAAGCAGGAGTTACCACCCCCAGAGTAGTGACAATAGTAAAGGCGAACACTTACCAAGTGGCAGCTGTGTGCCAGGCCCTGTGTAGCCACTAGTATGCTCCTCCTCCTGCAGAGGGGGAAACAGACTCCAGGGGTAGGAAGTAAACATAACTGGAAGAGCTAGGACTCAAACCCAGACAGCCCAGCTCCTGTCCACTCTGAGTCACTGCATGCTGCCACCTCTCTGGGGCGTGAACAATGTAAGAGGTGACCATTTGAGGATGGGGAATGGGCCAGCTTGTTTACTGAACACTTGTTATATGACAAGGGGTTCCACATTGTATATTGCACTTAATGCATTAATTATCTCAATGTTTAAACTGTCTTCTAGGAAGCCCAGCCTCCTCCTGCTGCTGCTGCTGCTACTACCACTACTACTAGTAATAATAATAAAAAGTAGCTACCATTGAGAGCTTATTCGGTGCCAGGCACAGTTCTAAGTTCTTTAAGAGGATTAAAACTTATTTAATGAACCATTGTTGTTCATTAAATAACAATTGTTGGCGGGGGTTGGGGGGGATGGGGGTCATTACTGTTATTGTCATCTTCATTTTACAAATAAGGAACCTGAGGCACAAGAAGATTAAGCCATCTGCTCAGTGGTGCTCTAGACAGTGGCAGAGCTGGGATCTGAACCAGGCAGTCTGGCTGCAGAGCCTCCACTCCTGACCACTGTGCCATGCAGCCACTGCCTTGTTCTTCTGCCTTCTGCAGGTGACTTCGTGGGGGACCCTGCTTGACCTCTGTCTTTCCCCTTTGTTTCCCCAGTCAGGGAAAATCAGGATGTGATGAAGCCACAGTTGGTTTGTGCTGCAAATGATGGTTATAGGGTGAGGCTGATCGCTGGCACCAGGGCTGAAGGGTCAGGCTTGCAAAAGTCTTGCATAAGAATTGGCCCATCAGAAGAAAGCAGATCCTGGTTCCTCTGCAACACGCGTATGCACATGTACATGTGTGTATGCGCACATGTAAATGTGTGTATGCACACATGTAGACTTACAAGCATGGGTACTTACAGGAGAGTGGGAGCAAAGTGGCTCAAAATAGCCTCTAGTCAAGTTTGCCTTCACCAATAACAGCACTAAGCGGTGTTCACCGTTTGCTAACCTTGCATTTGGAAGTTTACATGCATTAGTCTTCACATTGGCCTCCTGACAGCCCCCTGAGGAGGTTATCATCATTTCCACTTAGGGAAGGAGGGAGCTAAGCAGTTTTCCCTTTTTGTGGGGCCCTGGTGGAGCTGAGACCAGATCTGGATCCAGTGGGATTCAGAGCCCACACCCTTAGAAGCAACACTACTTCTACTCCAGGCAGCAGAAAGAGCAAACTGTATGAGAACGTCATGTGAAATGGACACTATTCAAACTCTAGGGACAGAATCAAACTCATCTCCTGCCCATGTGGCCTGCCCCCCCGTTGTCCCCAACACCACCAACCACTGATTCTCTTGGCCAGGTGGGACAGCCTGGATCCCACCTTCATTCTTACCCATATCCTACTGCTTTTGCTTAAGACTGGCCATCTCTGGTCTGGATGAATGCAGCAGCCTTCCCTGTCTCTGGTGATCCCAGCACCATCACCTCCAGAGCCTCATCTAAAACATACCTCTGGCCATGCCCCTTGTCCACTGAAACACTCTTCAAGGCCTGCCATGACCCCTGGGGCTCCCAAACTTGGCTTCCCATCACATTCTTGTCTTTCCACCCCCATACCCTCTAACTTTGTACACATTCTTTAGAGAAATGCTTCAGAATCACTCAGGCTTTTCAGGGGCAGAAGGCACACTCACAGAGGAATAATAAGAATTTACTTACAAAAGGACTTTTTACAAAGGGGCGGGTAGGGAATGGGGGACGACAAGGAAATGTGCAATTACTCAGGGTTGGTAGCTGCCAAGCTGTTACCCTCTCTAGGCCTGAGTGTACCAGGGAAGGTCGCCAAACCCAGGGAAAAGAGAGACTTATGCAGGTCCACGCTACTCAGTGTAGCCCAGAGCTGGATGCCGGGTGATGAGCTGTTTAGTCCAGGGTCATGATTAGACAGTACAGAAATTGAGAGTAAGCATTAAGAAAGTTTTATAGCAATTTGGCATTGGTTGTGACATTCAAATGCATGATGATTTTCCCCATTAATTTATTTCTATTATATTCTTATAAAAGCATTGGTCTACAACAGATGGGATGAAAACAGCTGTAGTCCTTCACTATGAATAATTTCAGAAGTTCTAATCTAGAATAGGGTTTCTCAGCCTTGGCACTATTGATACTTTGGGCTGAATGATTCTTTGTTCTGGTGGGCTCTTCGGTGTACTGTAGAATGTTTAACAGCATCCCTGATACCTACCCACTAGATGCCAGTAACATCTCCAGTTGTGACAACCAAAGATGTCTTCAGACTTGCCAGATGTCCTCTGGGGGCAAAGTCATCCCCTACTGAGACGTATTGGTCTAGAAAATTTATACGAGGGACAGAGGCAGCCAGGGACAATCTTACAGCATGTGAACCATGCAAATAAGTACCCTGATCTCACTGTCTTCTCTCCTCCCACTCTTCTGCTACTGCTTCCCCATGGCTGAACCCCCAAAAAGCCAGAGTTATGGGTGCATATTGGTCATTCTTTCAGGGCACAGAGCAGGGTAGAGGAGGGAGAGTGGATGGAGAGGCAAAAAGCGATATCTGACACATCTATCAGGTTGTAGCCTCTTTGTGAAAGACATATCCTGAAATTATGATAGATATTTTTTCCATTGCATAGACCAGCAACATTTCTGTTAGCAGAAAACATGAATTGCTATTTTAAGTTAAGTTGCTCCAATGTGTAAAATTTAATTAAGCTCACATGCTCTAAAGCACAATTTGAAATTGCAACCCCAAGCACTTACCGAGGAAAAACA